CACCAGAGCACTTGACGAACTTAGACCCCTATCTTCTACCACAAACTTTGACCTACAGAAACCATCAGGGCTCCAAAAATTCAGCTCATTGAGGACATTATGGGGTGTTTTTAGGATTTTGTTAATTAATTGTATCAATACGTTCAGCAGAGTCGTGGGGTTCTCACAAGCTCCTTATCATGAATATATACAGAGGTTGACCATCAGGGCCTAGCTGGAGAGCCATTTCCTCAGCTTCAAGCCTCCTCTCTCCTGCTGTAGTGTTACATCTTCCTTCGCCATGGCAACCAATTAGTGCACCTGGAGACACACAGCTGACTGGAAAGCTGCTTCTAACGGCAATATGAGACACATGAAACCAGGCTTAGTACACAGAAAACTGAGTGTTACATTTAAAACCCTTCACTAGAGCGCTTGCCATCTTCGGCCCCTATCTTCTCCCACAAACTTTGAGCTACAGAAACCATTCAGGGCTCCAAGCTGCGTCTAATGGCCATATGAGACACATGAAACCAGGCTCAGTACAAAGAGCACTGAGTGTTACATTTAAAACCCTTCACCAGAGCACCTGAAAAAATTAGAATAGAATAGAATAGAATATTCCTTTATTGATCCCCCATGGGGGAAATTTTTTTGTCACAGCAGCATCACAGACAAGACAAAAAGTGCAAAAATGCAGTTATAACAATAAGGGTCCTAATATTAAGAACTTAAATAAATGCAATAATTAAGAAAAAAATTAGAAAAGGGAGAAGAAAAAATAAAGCTTTCTACAATATACACAATTTAAATGCCATAAGAAAAGTGGTGGTGTAAAATCAGTTTTGTTACTGTTCATTGTAAAGTCTTATTGCAGAGGGGAGGAATGATCTGCGGTAGCGCTCCGTCCTGCAGGGTGGGAGTCTCAGTCTGCTGCTGAAGGAGCTGCCTAAAGCCCCCACAGTCTGGTGCAGTGGGTGAGAGGGATTGTCCATGATGGATACAAGCTTTGTTAACATCCTCCTCTCACCCACCTCCTCCAGGGAGTCCAAAGAGCAGTCCAGGACAGAACCGGCCCTCCTGACCAGTCTATTCAGTCTCTTCCTGTCCCTCTCGGTGCTCCCTGCCCCCCAGCAGACCACTGCATAGAAAAGTGCAGATGCTACCACAGAGTCATAGAAAGTCCTGAGCAGAGTCCTGCACACTCCAAAAGACCTCAGTCTCCTCAGCAGGTGGAGACGACTTTGGCCCTTCTTGTACAGAACGTCTGTGTTTGTTGACCAGTCCAGTTTGTTGTTGAGGTGGACACCCAGGAATCTATAGGACTCCACCATCTCGATGTCCAGACCCTGTATGTTCACTGGAACTGTTTGAGGTGTCCCCCTCCTGCGGAAATCCACAACCATCTCCTTTGTCTTACTGGCGTTGAGCTGGAGGTGGTTTGTGCCACACCAGTTGACAAAGTCAGTGATGACAGTCCTGTATTCCCGCTCATCCCCTGACGATACACATCCGACGATGGCTGTGTCATCAGAGAACTTCTGAAGGTGACAGCTCCCAGAGTTGTAGCTGAAGTCAGAGGTGTACAGGGTGAAGAGGAAGGGGGAGAGCACTGTCCCCTGTGGAGCCCCCGTGCTGCAGACCACCATGTCCGATACACAGTTCTGAAGCCTCACAAACTGTGGTCTGTCGGTGAGGTAGTCCACGGTCCATGCGGCTAGGTGACAGTCCACTCCCGCCCGCTCGAGCTTCCCCCTGAGCAGTGAAGGCTGGATGGTGTTGAACGCACTGGAGAAGTCAAAAAACATGACCCTCACAGTGCTGCCAGTGTTCTCCAGGTGAGCCATGGACCTCTGCAGCAGGTAGATGACTGCGTCATCCACCCCGATGTTTGGCTGGTACGCAAACTGCAGAGGATCCAGATGAGAGCTCACCAGGGGGCGGAGGTTCCTCAGCACGATCCTCTCCAGAGTCTTCATCAGGTGAGAAGTGAGGGCCACAGGTCTGAAGTGGTTGGGCTCCCTGGGGTGCGCTGTCTTGGGGACAGGAATCACGCAGGAAGTCTTCCACAGTGTTGGGACCCTCTCCAGACTCAGGCTCAAGCTGAAGATGTGCAGTAGCACCTCACAGAGCTGGTCTGCACAGTCTTTCAGGAGTCTGGGGCTGATGCCATCAGGACCCGTGGCTTTCCTTGGCTTCATCTTCCTCAGCTCACTTCTCACCTGGTCAGCTGTTATGGAGAGGCTGGGGGTGGTGCTGGAGGGGGTGGAGGAGGATGAGTGGAGGGGGGTTGATGGTGTTGGTGCCATGGGACTGAGGTGGAGTGAATAAGAAGAAGGAGCAGCAGATGGGTCTTTGGTTTGATGAGTCGGGGGAGGAGTGGGAGCAGAGTCAAATCTATTAAAGAACAGATTCAGCTCGTTGGCCCACTCCCTGTCTCCTGCTTCAGGTCCCCTCTCATGGCCCCTGCTATGACCTGAGATGGATTTCAGGCCTCTCCAGACCTCCCTTGCGTTGTTCTGTTGCAAAAGGTTTTCCATCTTGGTCTTGTAGCTGGCCTTTCCCTCTCTGATCTTCTTCTTCAACTCCTTCTGCACCCTCCTCAGCTCCTCCTTGTCCCCAGATTTAAAGACCCTCCTCTTCTCCTTCAGGAGGACTTTCAGTTCCGGGGTCACCCAGGGTTTGCTGTTGGAGAAACACCGTACTTTCCTGGTGGGTACGGTGTTCTCAACACAGAAGTTAATATAGTCCGTGATGCAGTCCGTCATGGTGTCAATGTCATCACCATGTGGGCCGCACAGTACATCCCAGTCTGTGGTCTCAAAACAGTCCTGCAGCGCCTCAGTGGCCTCCTCAGACCACCTCTTAACATACCTGATGGTGGGGGGTTGTTTCTTCACCATAGGTATGTAAATGGGCTGCAGTCTCACCAGGTTGTGATCTGAGCGGCCCAGCGGGGGGAGGGGGAGGAGGTGTATGCATCCTTGGTGTTTGCATACAGTAAGTCCAAAGTTTTATTGTCTCTTGTTGGGCAGTTTACATACTGGCTGAAGGTAGGGAGAGTGGAGGACAGCGATGCATGATTAAAGTCTCCAGAGATGATGATCAGAGACTGAGGGTGTGATGTCTGTAGCTTGGACACTTCATTATGGAGGAGTTCACAGGCTGCAGCAGCATCAGCCGAGGGGGGATGTAAACAGTTAACGCGATGACGTGCGAAAACTCCCTCGGCAGGTAATATGGCCGCAAACTCACAGCCAGCAGCTCAATGTCCTTAGAGCAGAGCTGCTCTTTAACACTGACGTGCCCAGCATTACACCATCTCTCATTCACATACACCGCTATCCCGCCTCCTTTCTTCTTACCACTCTCCCTCACGCTCCGGTCCGCTCTGACGAGGTGAAATCCGTCCAAAGTTACGAGCGGGTCCGGAGTGAGTTCGTTCAGCCATGACTCCGTGAACATCATGAGGCTACATTCCCTATACTCCCACTGCAGCCGAGTTAGCGCTGTGAGCTCTTCCATCTTGTTGGGGAGAGACCTCACGTTTCCCATGATGATGGACGGGACAGTTGGTTTGTAACGTCTCCGCTTTGCCCGATGCTGAACTCCAGCCCTGCATCCTCTCCTTCTCCTGCGGAGCTTAGCGGGGATGTCCGGTCTCTCCCACGAAGGTGGCCGGGCTTGACGCAGCGCCAACAGCTGTTCACGGCTGTAAACAATGCGGCCGCTGAATGGGTCGCCGGTCGCGGACTTAAAAACTCCGAAAAATAAAAGAAAACAAAGTGCTAGAGTCATGAACTGAACATCCATGGCTGGAATATGCAGACACAACACTGCTGAATGAAAAGAACGATAAAAAGGTGCAAAAAAACAACAATAAGAACGCAAAAACGTGAAGTCTGTGAGGAGCTGCTGTGACTTGCTGCCACTCTCAGGGCGCCCGAGTCACAAAAATTCAGCCCCTATCTCCTCCCACAAACTTTGACCTACAGAAATCATTCAGGGCTCCAAAAATTCAGCTCATTGAGGACATTATGGGGTGTACTCAGGATTTTCATTCATTTAACTTTTCCCCACTTTAAAATGATTCTCATTATTCATGCATTATTAAATTCTTCAGACAAATCCAAACTCATTGAAACTGATTCAAACCTTTCTGATACTTCAAACCTGTTTAACACTTTAGGACTTATTTAAAAATGTTCCCATTTCAAAATCATTCTCATTATTTATGTGTTTTAATTCTTCAAACAAAATCCCAGTTCTGCCACTACAATTACTACTTATATCACTTTAACTTGTATCTTCACTTCTACCTCCACTGCTCTTGCTTCTCTTAATATTTTTTTTACTTCTACTCTTACTTCTACCACGAGCTCTACTGCTTTGACTTCTACTTCTTCTATTCTAAAACTACTTCTACTGCTTACATGACTACTAATATCACTACTACAACTACGTATTATCATACTACTTCTAGTACTACAACTTAAACTTATGCTACTTCTCACTTTTCTGTGTTTAAGGTAATTTTCTTCCTTATCCAATTTTTTTGCAATTTCAGACAGTTTTTCTAGCCTTATTCAGCATGAATGCAATTCTAATTAATGAAGCACATTCATGCTATTTGTACTTCAGCAATTTTCACTTTCATCCAACTTCTACTTCTCTTTCTCCAGCCCTTTAACCAATTTTACATTTAAACCTTCCTCTATTTTTTTTAGCAGTTTTGCATTGCTTTTTCAGCTTTCAGCACTCAGCATTTCCACGCATTTTCTGCAAGGAAATGCAATTTTTCTAGTTATTATCATTATTCTTCCGTACCTTTCTCAGCCCCTTTCAACTCCTTCCCACTTGCTATTTTAACCATTCAAACTTTATACTAATGCACTCCTCCAGTACATTATTGCTATTTCTTCTCACCTTTCTACCATTTATACTTTTTGCAATATTTCACTTTTTCTGCAAAATTTGTTCCATTATAGGCTGTATTGGCTGAGCGAGATCGTGTTGGTTCGTTCCACTTCAGTGGGGCAACATAAACTCGGATTCATAAAATAGCTCTATTGATAGTAAGTATAAAAAAAAAATATCTACTCATGCCATCCGGTCGATTTTTAGTAATCAGTGTTTCAGTGTCGAACTATTTCCTTTCTGCAGCGTAGTGATACTTGCACACGCGCAATCGAATATGCAGAGGGGTGAAGCGATTTTTGTCACGTGGACCAATAGGAGCTGAGTCTCGTTGCCATAGTATCAGAAATACACAAACATGGCGAGGAGCGCATCTAGCAGCGAGACAAGCGAAGAGGAAGGAAAGAAAAGGAAAAAAGAAAACAGCCTTCAAAGTGCATAAAAAAGGAATGAAACGATGCTGTTTGCATCTATCATCTGTCCAGAGTGAAGACGTTCTCGACTTCACAAGGACACGTTGGGAAACTTACAGAACTAGTATTAGAAAGTGGCTTTCTCGACTTGGGTGAGACAAAGGACCTTGTAGAAACTTATCAACATTTTGTCGACTTTGACAATGTTCCTGATGACGCTGGGTTTCACATGACATGCTACCAGCTATTTATTTGCAAAAGGCGTATGAGAAACAAGAACGTGATGCAGCCGCGGGTCTGTCAAACCCTTCAGCCAGCATCGCCGATGCATCCACGTCCACGGCATCTGAAACTCTGCAAAAGAAACTTCACTCGAGGTCATAGGCTGTATTGGGTCAAAGGAAAAAGTGCCTAAAATGTGAATTTCGTTCAACTACCCTGGTGCTACTTGTTCAATGCATTTTTGCATAGACAATACCATTCTGGACTTTGGGTTAAAATATCTACTCAGACCATCCGTCCGACTTTTGTCACCAGCCAGAAATGTACATATGTGAGTAACCTAAAGAACAATTATATGGTGTTGCTGTTTTTGCTTGTAGAAACTGCCATGTTGATTCTGGCAAGACAAAATCTTTCTCAAATGTCATAAATACATCTACCTAACATCTGAAACAGTTATTGATGCATTAGTATACGCAAAAGTGAATTCAGATTATGAAATGTAGCAAATTTCTTGAGGAAAACGTCTCAACTCAAGTGATTTGCACTCAGCACAATGAAACATATACAGTAAATTTAGCTAAAAGCTTATGTTTCATACATAAAAATGACACAACCTACTGTGTAATAAAAGCAATAAAATATAAACAGCACATCATGGCCATAAATGGCTGAAAGTCAATCAAATTGCCACCACGCCCCCCAAAATTGGAATAATGGAAAAAATGTAACAAGACAAAAATAAATGCACAAAAGGTCTGAATTAATTCAAAACACAAACACAGACAAATGTAGAACAGTTTAAAAAATAATAAAAATCTCAAATCTCGGTGTAACAATCCTTTAAACAAAACAAATTGTACATGGTGACATGGTGCGTATATTACGCATCACTATCACTTTCATCAGAGTCATCATCCCATACAGCTCTTTCTTCTGTTTCCTTTGAAGTATTCTCACATGCTTGGCACCGACATAAATCTGTACAAGATAGTCCTGCAGACATGCAAGAACATCCATACATTCACAGGTTGTGACTCGACCAGTGCCTTTCATGGCAAGTGCAAAAGAAAAACATTTTCTGTTGCTTGTCAGAAAGAAGAATACTTGACTGGGTTTGCAAATCTGGGCAACAGTTTTAACCTTGACCAATCCACCTTTAACACGCTGAGTAGTTATGTGTGCCACCTGTATGGCCAGTCATCTGCGAAAAATGTAAATGATGCCAGATACAAATCTTTCTGCATGGCCTCATCAGCTTTGCCAGAACTGTCCATTCCCCCAACAAGTGACGCCCTGTACCAACACTGCATGAGAGCAAACTACCAAGCAGTGGTGATGAAACATTCTCTGACTGGTAAAATGTGTGCCCCTTCACACTTCACAAATCCTGCCCCTGATAGTGTTTTGCAGATAGTCTACTGTAGTTGCAAGACATCAAAATGTGAGACTGAACGATGTTCTTGTATTGTGTAAAGGATTGCTACACCCACAGAAATAGAGGGCGGCCACGAACATCGTATGTAAGGATTGTGACGTTTGGCGCTACAACGCTCTCGCCGCGTTGCGACCTAAGTCAAGTCATGCAGAAACTGATGTACGATAGTACAGAAGGGGTGTGGAGCTCAATGTCTGCTTCCTCAAAGAGCTCCCATATGGTATCCTAAAAACAGTCCTGCAGGGATAATGTGGCCTCCTCAGTCCAGCGCTGCATGGTCTTATACTGTGGCCTATACCTGCAGATGAGGGGTTTGTAAGCTGATGTTCGGAACAGGGAAAGATGGTCTGAGTGTCCAAGGTGTGTGGAAGGGTGTGCTTTGTAGGCTCCAGGGTTGCTGGTGTAGACCTGGTCTAGTGTTCTGCCCTTTCTGGTTTCAATGTCCACATTCTTGTAAAATCTGGGGAGCACAGTCTTTAAATTGGTGCAGTTGAAGTCCCCAGTCACGATGAAAAAGACCCCTGAGTGTTTGTTCTGCTGTCCGCTGATGCTGTCATGCAGACTGTTCACAGCGGCTTTAGCATTAGTTAGTGGATGGATATACACTGCAGCCACAAACACCTGAAAGATTTCCCTGGGCAGAAAAAAAGGTTGGCACTTTAACAGTAAAAACTTGCATGGGACTCATACCAGAAACGAGCGCATGCAAGGTCCGTCAGGCTGAAAAAAATTTGTATGTATCAAGGTGTGCGGGCACCGAAAGCCACGTGTGTTTCCTTGATAAATCCCCATCAGCTTGGAATTGAGCGCAGATGTCTGAGTGACCGGGCCCGCCCCCGTTACGCCCTCCTATAATTATGCAGATTTATTTAAATAGGGTCTCCCTGTCCTCGCACGCAGACAAAATGACAAGAAAAACAAAATTTACGGCGTGCAAGGTGGAGGTGCTGGTGGCGGAGGTGGAGGAGCGACAGCATGTTTTGTTTGGCAGCCTGTCCAGTGGCGTCAGTGCAAAACGAAAACACTTGGAGTGGGAGAAAGTTTCCGAGGGTGAAAACGGTGGGTTCCAAAACACGCACCCCCGCGGAGATTAAAAAAAAGTGGTCGGACCTCAAGGTGGAGGTCAAGCGGCGTACAGCTGCCCTCCGGAGGAGTACCGGCCAGACAGATGGGGGTCCGGGGGAGGAGACCCTCACGCCGTTTGAGCAGTGGGTGGTGGCGATTATGGGGGGGTGCCTCTGTGGGGGGGATTGTCGCCGCTACCGGCGGCAACTCAGACAGCCTGCCGGAGGGTAAGTGGCGTGTCACACAAATGTCCACATGCTTTGCCATAGATGTAAACGCAACAGATACACAGAAGCAGGAATTGAAATTAACCAATATTTTTATTGTGTCACAGAATCCAATGTGTCGGCCGTGTCGCCGGCTTGTGGAACCCCGGCCCGCGGCAGCCCGTCCGCCGGCTCGGAGTCGTCGGCCAGGACCAGCGGCATTCGAGCCACCCCGGCCCCAGCACCAGCACCAGCACCAGCACCAGCGCGCCGACAAGCAGTGGAGCGTCCACCAGCCGCGGCGCTTCCACTGGACCACCCGGACGCACTGGAAGGGTCCTCACGGAGGCGGTCCTGCAATCGCAGGAACAAATAATTAGGGAGATCGCGGGGATCAACGAGCGGCTGGACCGCCTCGTAAATGTCCTCGAGCGTCTGATGGACAAAATGAATTAATTTGGCTCATTAAACTGTGTATTCACTTCTTACCCATTCACATTGTGGTGATGAGATTCTCCCGCGCGGCCCGGCAGGGATCAACTTGCATCCCTCCGTCTGCTGCTGGTTCGTGATGTGGGGCGACCTGCTGCTCGGCCATGGGGATGTGGTGCAGGTGTGCCACATTGTGGAGGACGCCACATGCCATCACAATGCGGCACACCTTCTCCAGACGATACATGAGCACGCCGCCACTCCGGTCCAGACAGCGCCACCAACCCTTTAACTGGCCGATGGCCCTCTCCACCACTGACCGAGAGCGAGAGTGGAGATGGTTGTACCTCCGCTCTCGGTCAGTGTGGGGGTTGTGGTGAGGGGTCATCAGCCAGGTCCTGAGGAGGTAGCCACTGTCACCTTCAGAAAAAGCACAGTGTGTCAAGTCTTGGGCTTGATGCGTTGTAATAATAGCAAGCAATAAGCAATCAATAACCCACAACATCCATCGAGTACTCCCAATCAAACACAGAGTACAATACATCAGTGTTGCACACATTTGGTTCAAGTCACTGATGCACGTCGAGTTTCTTGAATAACATTATATCATTACATATTTACTCACCCAGCAGCCACCCATCTGTCACTGCACCTGCCTGGAGCCTCTCCCCAACAGTGCTGTTGTACAGGATGTGCGAGTCGTGCGTTGAACCGGGCCACCTCGCAACAATGTTGAGCAGATTCATCTGCGCATCACAGATGATCTGCACATTGATCGAGTGAATGCCTATGGTTGACGTAAGCGTACTCGTCATCGGACGGCACTTTTATGGCAACATGAGTGCAGTCAATAGCTCCAATTACGTTTGGGAATCCGGCTATTGCTGCAAATTGTGTTTTAATATTGGCCTGTTCAACCGCACCATAGGGGAATTTGATTTACCTGTGGGAGAGGCAGATCAGCTGGTCCACCACCGTGGTTATGGCCCGGCTGATGGTGGGCTGGCTCACCCCAGAACGGTTGGCCATCTCCCGCTGGAAGGAGCCTGTGGCCAAGAAGCCGAGTGTGCCCAGCACCAGCGTTGGCACACTCGGCGTCGCCAAAGTGCCGTCAACGCAAGTATCGGCTCAACGCCAACTTCTACCCCACCTCCTCACTTTGCGTAGATTAGCGCTAGAACCGACGTTCGTGTCGCGATGATAAATCTGGACGTGTGTGCCGATCTTGGCGAACGCAAGGTTTTCTGGCGCCGCCAGCGTTGATACATGAGGCCCCAGGTCTGGACAGCAGTGTCTTTCCATAATGGCAGTATCTGTGCACCAATTGTTGTTAACATAGATGCACACACCTCCTCCTCTCGTCTTTCCAGAGTATGATGTGCGGTTTGCCCGGAAGATTGTATGGCCTGCTAGCTCCACAGATAGGTCCAGGACGTTTTCATGCAGCCGCAAGCTTACACTGCGTTAGCAGGTCAGACAAGGAGGCATCACAGCCAGGTTGAGCACCACAGAGCTAGTGACCGCAACATTGCGGTTGGAACAGAAGAGGAACACCAGTCTTCTGAGCAGACCCCACAGCAGCAGAATGCCCCACAGTAGGAGAACAGCACAATGAATTTGGAGCAGCATAGCCCCCCACAGCAGGAGAGCAACGCCGCACGCACAGAGCCACAGCAGGAGAGCAACATCGCACGCACAGAGCCCGTAAGAGTCCCCCCAGAGAAGTATGCACAGAAACCCCAAGTCAAGTGGCCAAAGTCCAGCGACAGGGAAGTATGGAGAAACTTCAATGAGAGAACATGCACCACCCTCCAGAACTCCCTAACGGGCAATGCAACCTCCAAACTGAACATCCTCGGCCATTTCATCCACGAGGAAGGGAGAAACCGGTTTGGAGACAAGCGTGTGAGGAGGCCCAGTCCTAAACAAAGCGGAAGGCGGGAAAGGGAAATCTTTCCGCTGGTAAAGGAGCAACATCTCTTGAGGAAGTCATGGAGGAAAGCTGAGGCAGAGGAAAAAGAGGGCTTGAAGGACCTCTGGAACGAGATCAAGGAAAGGCTTGTACACCTCAGGAGAGCTGAAAGGATAAAGAAGCGGAGAAGCCGTAGGGAGAAGGCAAGGACATGCTTCTTACGGGACCCCTTCAAATTCGCCCGCAGCCTCCTGGAGGAGAATAAGACCGGAACGCTACAGGTCACAAAGCAGTAGCTGGAGCAACACATTGCAGATCAGCTGAGCGACAACCTGAGAACAAAGCCCCTGGGACCACCAGGCCATGTACCTCGCCCAATTGAGCCATCCACAGAGTGTGACACGTACCCTCCCAGGTGGGCAGAAGTCAAACAAGTAGTAGATCGCGCAAGATGAGCATCAGCACCTGGGCCAAACGGCATACCATATAAGGTATTTAAGAACTGCCCTGGGCTCCTGAAGGCACTATGGAAGCTCATGGTTGTGGGTGGAAAACAGAGTCCATCCCTCTGTCATGGTGCCAAGCAGTCACCACCTTCATCTCAAAGGAGAAAGACTCTCAAAACCTCAGTCAGTTCAGAGGCATCGCTCTGCTGAACGTGGAGGGGAAAATCTTTTTCTCCATCTTGGCCAGACGGATGACGAGCTACTTCCTGGCAAATAAGTGTATCGACACCAGTTGCCAAAAGGCAGGAGTCCCAGGATTCCCTGGCTGCGTTGAACACTCAGCGGTGATCTGGGAACAAATCCAGACAGCCAAACGAAGCAAATCAAATCAAATCAAATCAAACTTTATTTATATAGCACCTTTCATGCAAGCTGCAACACAAGGTGCTTTAAAAAAAGATAAAAACAAACAACGGTAAAATAAAAACAAACAATGCTAAATATAAGGCAATTAAATAGGCATAAAACCCGTCCCTTCCCACCCACAGCAACACATACAGGCATGCACAGCAGCCCCCCCCCACACACACATACACGCACACACGTATCCACACACCCACACACTAACTGTCAGTAAAAACATGGCAAGGCACTGAGGATCCTGGTGAGGAAAGACCACCTATGGGAGCCGTCCACACCGAGAGGAGCCACAGCCCACCCCACAGGGAGCACCGCCCCCGAGACCCCCCAACCCAGACAGCACCCCGCACATAGTGCAGAGCCCCCTAACCGTCTGGGCCTGGACGATACCAAGGACCACACCCCCCGGGGGCGGACCAGACACACCTCCCAGTGTGGAGGGCCCCCACGAGGAAACACTGAAGCTGAAAAGACTAAGAGATAGTAGAGTACAGGAATTAAAATAATGTTAAAATATCTAAATGACATAAAAATGTGATAAAAGTAAAGGATAAAATAAACTAAAACTAGATTAAAATAATGTTAAAATATCTAAATGACATAAAAATGTGATAAAAGTAAAGGATAAAATAAACTAAAACAGTTAAATCAGCTAAAAGCTAAACTAAAAAGGTGGGTCTTGAGCCTCCTTTTAAAAACATCAACAGTCTCTGCGGTCCTGATGTTCTCTGGCAGGCTGTTCCATAACTTTGGGCCATAATGGCTGAAAGCAGCCTCTCCGTGAGTTTTGGTTTTTGTCCTAGGAAGGCCGGTGCCAGAGGACCTCAGGGTGCGCGAGGGTTAATAAGATAAAAGCAGTTCAGATAAATAAGATGGGCTAAGACCGTTAAGACACTTAAAAACTACTAAAAGAACCTTGAAATCAATCCTGAAACACACAGGGAGCCAATGCAGGGATTTTAAAACCGGTGTAATGTGCTCCTGCCCTCTGGTCCTCGTCAGCACACGTGCTGCAGAATTTTGTAGCAGTTGTAGAATGTTAGCAGTGTTTTTGGGAAGACCAGAGAGCAGGGGCCTCATTTATAAAACCTGGCGTAGGATCCATACTAAAAGTGTACGTAAGTTGAAAAGCTGAAAAGTGCGTAGGCAAAAAAAAAATCTGATTTATAAAACCCTGCCTAGGCACACCTGCACGCACTTTCACTTTATAAATCACAGACCAGCCGGAAAGTTGCGCAGCAGGGATTTGATTCATGCCCCGCCCTCTCCACACCCAAAATTCACCATGTATGGTCATGCAAATTACCTCATGAATGTGATTTGCATATAAATAAGCCTGATGGATCCACGGCATTTCACGCTTAACCATGGCATCAGCAAGTCGTAGAAAAAGAAACTTTTCAGAGATCAAGGTGGAGGTTCTTGTAATTGAGGTGGCGGCGAGACGGGAGACCTTATTCGGCGGCCATTCGAGTGGCATCACCAATAAAAACGCCGTTGCCGTGGCGGTAATTGCGGCTGGCACTGAGCGCAGCGTTGCGGAAACAGTGTTGTTTTCGTCATATTTCGTCAAATATTTTCGTCAACGCCAGCGTCAAAAAAGGGAAATGTTGTTTTCGTTGACGAAAATATTTCCCTTTTCTTCCACGACGAAGATGTAATGTTGACGAGCTAAACATAAGTCAGAGATGACTAAAATGTGACGAGACGAAAGTGCGTTTACGTTGATGGGACGAGACGAAAATGACGAGCAGAGTTGCAAAACTCAGTCTCATAAACGCTAAACATATAGGAGCAGCTTCTGTCCACTCTGACAGCTCTCATCAGCCTGCTGTGCTCCTCCAACACACAGACACACACACACACGCGCGTGCGCGCACACGTGGAGTTCTGTTTTCGTTGACGATGACATTGATGAAAACAACACTGTGCCGAAATCAAGAAGTGGTCTGATCTAAAGGTGGAGGCAAAGAAAAAAGTGGCTTTGCACCGTCGGAGCGTGGCGGCGACAGGTGAGGATCAGAAAAAACAAGCACGTGTGACACTCATCCATGTGTTCCAAAAAGGAACTGCTCCGTTATCCACCGCAGCTTATGTGGTGAAAGTTCGTAAACCAAAAAGATTTAGTCATATTAATCTTAAAACAAATGCATGTAAATGGAATTTGTTTTTTTGCACATTTGTAAATTCAGATTAGCAAACTATCTACACCGCCACAGTGGGGTCTGTGCTTTCAGCGAGCATCACTGCCTGTTACAGCAGCTGCAGCTCTCAGGACAGAGAGGCCCTGCATTGAGTCATCCATTGTGCTGAACGCATCACCCGGACTGTTCTCACCTTGCTCCGATTGTCTCCAAAAAGTGCGTAAGCAAGGTGTGGAGTTTGCTTAAAGTTGCGCACATTCCTACACTAGTTTTTCTTTTATAAATCCCAACTCTTGCGTAAGATGTGGCGTAAGCACTTTCTAGCCAGGTTTTGTGCGTAAGCAAGCTTTATAAATGAGGCCCCAGGGCATTACAGTAATCTAAATGACTAGAAATAAAAGCATGCATCAGCACCTCCGTGTTGGCCTGAGAGAGAAACGAGCGGACTCTGGCTATATTCTTAAGATGGTAAAAACCTATCTTTGTTATGTTCTTGATATGTGGAATAAAATTCAGCTCAGAGTCAAAAATTACGCCCAGATTCTTAACAGATTGAGCAGGTTTAAAATCTTGTAGTTTTGGTAAAAGTTTATCTCGCCTTCAGGACCAATAATTAAAACTTCAGTTTTGTCCTGGTTGAGCTGTAGGAAATTCTCTGCCATCCATGACTTGATATCTAAAATGCAGTTAAAAAGGGCATCAATAGGCCCTGTGTCCTCAGGGGACACGGCGATGTACAACTGTGTATTGTCAGCATTACTATGGAAGCTGATGCCGTGTCTCCTGATGACGTCCCCAAGGGGAAGCAAGTATTGGACCTAACATTGACCCTTGGGGCACCCCACACTTAATTTCATGAGTTTTTGAGGAACAGGTATCCATACTTACAAAGCAGGATCGTTCCGAGAGATAAGAACTGAACCAGTTAAAAACAGTACCAGAGAGGCCCGCCAGGTGCCTGAGTCTGCTTAATAAAATCTGGTGATCTACTGTGTCAAAGGCAGCGCTTAGATCCAGTAGTACCAGAACTGTGAGCTTCTGTTTATCAGCATTACACCTGATATCGTTTAAAATCTTTAAAAGGGCTGTCTCAATACTGTGGTTCATCCTAAAACTGGATTGATACTTCTCTAAAATATTATTACTTTTTAAGAAACAATTTACTTGGTTAAAAACCAGTCTTTCTAAGATTTTACTTAAAAACGGTAAGTTGGATATAGGTCGATAATTATTAAGAACATCAGTATCCAAATTTCTCTTCAGAAGGGGCTTCACCACCGCCGTTTTAAGGGCGGTGGGGAAGACCCTTGTCTGAAGAGAGCAATTTACTGTGGTTAAAATCTGTTCCTCAAAAAATTCGTAAAATGTTTTTTAAAATGATAGGGGAATTGGATCTAAAAGGCAGGTCGTTGGGTTTACTTGGGAGTAAACTCGACCAAGTGTCTTTGCGTCAACCAGGGCAAAACTCTCCAGTGTTTCCTCAGGTAAAATCGGCTGTTCAGATGTGTCAAAAATCACATTCTGATGAGTTAAAAGACTGGATCTAATATCATCTATTTTACTCCCGAAGTGGTCTGCAATGTCCTCACAGAGGGCGTCTGTGGGGGTCTTAAAAGGTTTTTTGAAAATGGGAGTTGGTCGATGGTGGAAAAGAGGAATTTGGAAATGTTTTTATGGTCTGTGATGAGTTTTGAAAAGTGGGCTGTTCTTGCCTTTTTTACTGCATTATTGTATTTTTTGAGTGAGTCCTGCAGTATTTCAAGGTAAACTGTTAATTTGGTTTTTCTCCATTTGCGTTCGGCACTCCTGCATTTTCTCTTTAAGTTTCTGATTTCATCGTTTTTTCTCCATGGGGGTAAGGGTTTTGTTTTAAAAGTTTTCATTACGGGTGGAGCCACTGTGTCCAATGCGGTTTTTAATGTACTGTTAAAATGGTCCACAATAAAATCTCATGGTGCAGGTAAAATTGCGGCAGGAGTGCTCTGTAAAATCCCAATAAAATTTGCAGCACTTTGGGGGTTAGGTAGCGTTTCCTCACCGTTCTCACCGGGGCCTCGTGATGGTTAAAACTGGTGATATTAAAATACACATAGAAGTGATCCGACACAGCCAGGTCGACAACAGAGGACACACCAGTGGATAGGCCGGAAGTTATGACCAAGTCCAGGGTGTGCCCTCTGTTGTGAGTCGGCTGTGCCACGTGCTGTTTAAAACCCATGCAATTTAAAAGGTTTAAAAACTCCTTGGACACTGGATCAGAAGCTGTATCAATGTGCAAGTTAAAATCACCAGTTATTAAAATCCTGTTATGGGTAGTGTGTAAGATTGATTATAGTTCTGAAAATTCGCTAATAAAAGAGTTGGAGTAATGGGGTGGTCTGTAAATTGTAATGCAGAGAGTAGGAGGACTGCTAAAAACAAATGTGTGATATTCAAATGATGTAAAACTGTTAAAAGAAACTTCATTTGGGCACAGTGTGTTTTTGAATATTGAAGCAGTGCCTCCTCCCCTTCTACCCCCCCTTGTTGAAAATAACAAATTAAAATTAGGGGGGCAAGCCTTGGTGAGAACAATTGAAGCATCAGTGCCAAGCCATGTCTCTGTTAAAAGGAGAATGTCTAAATTATTGTCTAAAATCAGATCATGGATAATAAACGTCTTATTTAAAAGTGAGCACACGTTCAGCACGGCCAAATTAATGTTCGTGCCGAGCGTGCGCTCATCCTCAGGAAGTGGTGAGATGGGAGCCAGTGTGACAGGAGTTAGGTTGATGGTCCGTGAAGGGAATGTTCTGTGGGTTCGGTGTGAGATTCTGACTGGGATGCAGGATATGGGGGTGAACTGTGAGTGAGGTGTTGTGAAACTGACTGTATACAGGCAGAGGGTGAGATTGGAGGAGAAATGGCAGTGGTATGGTGTAGTACTGGGGGTGGACGGTAGGGGGAACTAGTGGTGGCGGTAGTGGCTTAGGACAGTGACACAGAGGCAGAGGGGGAAATCAGTCACGTGTGTGTGGGTGTGTGTGTAGGTGTGTATGTGGACTGAACAGCATGGCGGATGTTGTCGCCGAGCATCCTGCTGCCCAGGCGAGAGGGGTGGACTCCGTCAGCCCTGTAGAATGGGGAGTGGTTCCAAAATAAGTTAAAATTGTCAATAAAATGAAACCCGCAAGGGCAGGCGGAATGGAGCCAGGTGTTCAGGCTGAGGAGTCTGCTGAAGCGCCCCATGCCACGGTCGAAGGAGGGGAGGGGCCCCGAGATAAAAACAGACTTACCGCAGTCAGTGAGAACCTTAAAAAGTTTCTTAAAATGGTCCTTGGTCACCTCAGACTGACGGGAGGAAGTGTCGTTAAAACCCAGGTGTAAAACCAGCCTCGTGATGGAGGATGGGAGTGAGCCCAGCAGCTCCGGGAGTTTATGGAGGAGAGTCGGGACAGTGGCGCCTGGGAAGCAGTGGGTTACTGCATTAAAAAAACGGACGTGCCTCATGATGGAGTTGCCGATGATTGCCGTGGATAGAGTTAAAAAACAACTGGAATCCAATGATTATATCACAGTTTTTGTTAGATTATGGGCAAAGTTATCCAGAGCTGTCAAACCGGCGTCTGCTCACCAACCGGCGTCACACACAGGAAGACCTGCACGTAGTCTGGCTTGACCTGGCAAATGCTTTCGGCTCATTTCCCCACCAGCTCATCACGTATGCCCTTAGCTTCTTCCATGTACCACCATGCGTCCAGAATCTAGTAGCCAAATACTTCAATAACCTGCACATTTGCTACACAACCCGGGATATCACAACCGATTGGCACCAGCTCGAGAAGGGGATAGCAATGGGATGTGCCATCTCTCCCATCCTCTTCACTGTGGCTTTTGAGATCCTACTGATAGGTGGAAGACAAATGGTTCGAGGGGTCAGAGCGCAGACAGGCCAAAGACTGCCAGCCATGAGGTGCTACATGGATGACGTCACCACCCTCCTCCAAACAGCAGCCTGCACAGCCAGACTCCTCAAACAACTGGAAGAACTACTAGCCTGGGCTCGCATGAAGATCAAGCCACCAAAGTCTCGCAGCCTGTCAATCCGGAAAGGGACCAGGAACAATATCATCGTCTTTACTGTGGCCAGCGAAAGAATCCCTCTACTGGTAGAAGCACCCGTTAGAAGCCTTGGTAGGATGTACACGGCAGACCTCTCCGACAAGAACATGGCCTCAGCTGTCACAGCTCAACTCCAAGAGGACCTGCACAAGATTGATCAGTGCCCCCTACCAGGGAAGTTCAAGGTGTGGTGCTACCAGTTCACTCTGTTCACTCTTGTACCACCGCCTAATGTGGCCCCTGAAACTCAGCGACATCACCATGAGCACGGTCCTGAAGCTGGAGGCAAAGGCCAACAACTACATCCGGAAGTGGCTCGGCCTTCCTCGATCCCTCTCCTCCACGGCACTGTTCGGGAGAAACGCCCTCCAGCTCCCACTACAGTCCATAAGGCTGGGGTACAAAAAGGAGAAGGTGAGGCTCCACTTTGAGCTGAGAGATTCTACGGACCCGGCAGTTCAAGCTGCCAACCCTTAGACTTGTATAGGACGGAAGTGGAATGCATCCAAAGCAATTGACCAGGCAGTGGAGCGGCTGAAGCACCAGGAGATCGTTGGCTTCACACAGTCAGGCAGATCTGGCCTAGGATGGGCAACAGCACCAAGGAGCTGGTCCAAAGTAATGAAGAAGGAGAGGAAGGATCTTGTGATCTCAGAAGTTGCCAGGATGGAGGAGGAAACCTACAAGATCACAGCGGTGAGCCAGCATCAGCAAGGCAGATGGACGACTTGGGAGGCTGTGATCAAAAGAACCATCAATTGGGCCGACATGTGGAGAACTCCCCAGGCGAGACTGAGCTTCCGGATTAGGGCCACATACGACACCTGACCCAGCCCCCGGAACCTCCTCACCTGGTTCGGCAAAGAAGAACCCTGCCACCTCTGCAGCTCCCCAAACCCAAACCTAAAGCACATCCTCGCTGGATGCAAGACGGCATTGTCACAGGGAAGGTACAGGTGGCGGCATGACAAGGTCCTGCGCAAGCTAGCAGAGTTCCTGGAATCCCGCAGACAGCAAGCAAACCGGGAGAACCCACCCACATCCCCGAAGTGGATCCAGTTTACCAGGCCAGGGACGACAGCGCAGCGCGGCATGGGGAGAGCGGTCGCTCCTGTCACTAGGGGGCCAGTGGCAGCTAGCAGTCGACCTCAGCCATCAACTGAAGTTCCCTGCAGAGATCACCACGACATCCCTACGCCCAGACATTGTGCTCTGGTCAGCACCTGCCAAAGTCGTCATCATGGTTGAACTGACAGTCCCATGGGAGGAACAAATGGAGGCTGCGCACGAGCGTAAGAAGGACAAGTACGCAGAACTGGCAGCAACATGCTCACAAACTGGGTGGAGACCGTTTACCTTCCCAGTGGAGGTCGGATGTAGGGTCTTCACCGGGACATCCACACAGCGGCTACTGAAGACGCTCGGAGTCACAGGATCCAACAGGAAGCGAGCTCTTTGTGACCTTGCAGAGGAGGCTGAGGAAGGGAGCTTCTGGCTATGGCTCAGAAGGAAGGAAAGGGCGTGGGGAACAGAAGGCTCTTAAGAGAGGCGTTATGGTATGCGGTCAGGCCCACGCTTGACTCAGGAAGTGGACGCCCCTGCCATGCATAGTCTCCTGGGACTCACTCCACATACACAACAACAATAAAACTGGGAGCAGAGCGTGGGTAGAATACAGATCCTTACAGGCTGCAGGGAGCAGCAGAGAGACGTCCCTGTCACTTCTCCACCACCCGGAGGTGTGGAGCGAAACATCAGTGAAGGGTGGCCCCTGGCTGACGACCCTGCAGTCTGCACAATGGCACCGTCGGAGGTGCGTCAGACAGAAATGCCAAGCAGGCACGACCACCTGTGCTTACATCTGCTGCAACATGTTGTCATCATTTGCGTAGTGACAGTAATATGCACGTTTTCAGTGCAAAATAAAATGAAAAAGTGCGTGTGTCGTCTCGGGTCTGAGTGCCTTAAATCGTTTCGTTCGTGGTCCCGACCCGACCACTGGCTCCCGTTTTTTCCTGTTTTCACCATTTAGAAAAAGCTGATCTTCACACAGACGGGCTCATTTGCTGTTGCAGGTGACAGGGAGACATCAGCAGAAATGAAAGATTTTTTCAAATCTAGTTAAAAGTTCCATACAGGACTTTAAATTAGTTAAAGTGCTGTTGAATGAGTCAAGCTTTTCATGAAAAAATTCATAGCCTACCTAGAGATTAATGTTAACCAGCAAATATCAGGTCAAGTAATCTGGTATTTTCAGAGATTTTTAATAAAATCGTACATTGCCTCTGTGAATGGATGACATAATGTAGCTGTGACCAGTGTCTCTGCAGCAGACATGTTGTGCTGCTCTCTGTCTGCCTCCAGCCGCACAACAGTAGAAAGTTATGCAACTCTCTCTCTACCCTGTCTGTTGTGCGTTAGAGCTGTGTCTGTTGAAAGGTAGCAATTGCGCAACAGAAATTATGCAATGTAGAAGAGGTAACAGAAATTTTGCAATTACAGGGAGGTAATGTTGTGGGGAAGAAAATTATGTGTCTAATACCATGAAAACATAAGCTTATATGATTTTTATTCTGGACTCAAACTCACATATGGGAACCTAGTGGAGCACACTATCTGAGGTTTTGTTATAACATATGGCAAGCAAATTGTTACTGGCAAAATATGGAAACTAATTTCAAGAGAAAACCTGTTTGACTTGTAATCAATCTGTTCTGCTTCTGCACATATTAGAAATTAATCTTTTAATCTTCCAATCTTCATGAAAGACTGTGGTCTTAATTTTGTGCCCAAAGTGTCTATGTAATATGAGATGCAGTAAACAGATTGAAAGAGAGATATGTCCAACAATACCAAATGTAGCAAACTGTGAGTCATACCTAAATGAAAGAAAATGTTGATAATATGCTCTGTGTCCATGACACTGTCCTTCTTCTCTCACAAATGAAGCATGCGAAGGATTATTTATAATAAGATACAAATAAAATACATACGAGATGCATACAAAATGCACATGTGAGAGGGATCAATAAAGTTCTTGTATGATGTTGTATTTTACCAGCTTATCTGACTCTAGGTCACATGATACGAAAAACACAATGTTATGTGTGACAATATTATTTAATTTTGTGAGATTTATAAGATGTGATGTAAATATTTAAATGTCCATACAAGTTAAAATTACTATATTACTATATGGGTCTTTTTCATTCCGCTTTACACATTACCAGTGATCAGCAGAAAAAAACAGACTACATTAAACAGACTACATCATTTTCTTATAGATTTACAGATCCCTTTTTGCAACTGCCCGTTCTTGCTGGGCATTATAAATAATCCAATTTATAGCACTAAAAGATTGGCTTCACTTTAAGTGTACAGGCTTGATCCATTTTTAAACATGGCTTATGATTGAAAAATAGATCGTTTGCCTTTAAAAATTTCTCTGTTCGCCCTTACCAAGGTGGTTACGGTAATGTGTAGGCTCCCCCCTCACTCCATGCGAGACAGGCTGAGCTGTTGCAGTACCTAACATATACTGTCCTCCTGCTGCTGTGACTGAACACACAACTGCCAGGTGAGAGGGGATGTGACCTATTTCGCTGTCTTCTTGCATTGCAGTGTAATATTGTTAGACAGCATCGTGACTTTATCACTTCTCGTGGCTGTCGAATGGGAGACTGGCTCCAGCTCGCTTTCATAAGTATAGCCATTCGTAATGTTTAAAAATTCTGTTTTCGTGATGACGAGGAAACAAAAGATAACTATAAACTAAAAATGGAAATAAGAAGAAGAAGAAGAAGAAGAAAAGAAAATCAATATGACCACAGTGTTGTACTTCCTTTAGAACGCGAACGGCACCGCCCACTGCAGGGCCGACTTGATAAAACACAACATCTGCAAGTTAAATGTGCTGTCTATCTTAATTGAGTTGTTGTGTGATATTCATGCAAGTGCCGAATACAAGGGTTGACAATTCAACAGAAAACCGAGACACGGTATTTTGTCTTACACAGAGTAATTGCGTGCAGGTGTATGTGACAACATTAAATTATGACTTTTTCAAATGGGACTTGGGATACTGCCATAACCAAGACAGTATCTTCGCATGCCGTTGGCTTGTGTTTGCGCACACTTGTCTGCTGTTTGCTTTTGGTGTGACTGTAAGTGTGTGTGGGTTCGGGCCCGGTGTGTCAGCGAACAGTGGTGAGAAGAGTTTTATAAATAGAGAGGTGACATTAACGCTTGGATTCCTGACCTTGTTCAGACGGGATCGACGCACCGCGCAGACTCAGAGCTCAGTGACTCTCGAAGTATGATCTTGTTAGAATTATTTCAGAGCTGCTGGACTAGAGTCAGGGCTGCAATTGATTCGACCAGAAACCTTTTCCTCTCAGTTCATGATGTGGAACAAAATTAGACTACAAAGAAACAAAGTGTGAAAACATTTTCAAAAAAGCATTTGTCTTTTTGCTCTCTACGTGGTAATCATTCACCCTTAAAAGTGCAGTTTGTTTTTTACGTTGCTTCACTGACTTCTCTTGCATGTTAAGCTCATGGTACAGACTGAAACCTGACAAATAATTTGCCTTTGGTCTGTTTACAGTATCGTGAATTAAAATTGGTAGTCAGCCATTGAATGCAGCTCTACTGGTCTTACCTATCCAAACAGTCATATTTTATTTATTTCAAGGGGCTATTGAACTGTTGTCACTCACTTTCTTGTTTTGTATTATTTTTCACACAGCTGAAAATTTAGTCAAGTTGATCATGCTTTTGCATTCTGTTCATTCTATTGCAAATTGTCCTTGGGTTATGACTGTGCTCAGATTGCAGGTCCCAGAACAATTAAAAGTGTTCGCATTGGCTCTGACGAGATGGTTGAAATTGGAATGAGGATGGCTCACTGACTGTTCTATCAGAAACAACTGATGAGCTTCAACACATACACATTACAACACATAACTTTAAAGCAAACTTCGAGATAGAATTGCAAAATTAACAAACAAAAAAAAATGTTGAGCTGAAGTGCCCGACTGCAGTCTAGAATGTAGAATCAGCTTCATTGGCCAAGAAGGTGTACTCATACAAGGAATTTGACTCCGGTAAACTTTGCCTTCTAAGTACACACATTTAACATGAAATGTTACAAAAATATGCTCATTTACCTACAGAGCCACTGTGGACTGCACATATCTTTCATTCATATAAAGAGGCTTAGATTCACTAATTATGAGCGGTAAAACAATGAGATTCCACTTAACATTCACACATTAAAGAATTACACAGTACACTGATGGACAAAACTGAACATGTTTCAAAGCAAACCAAAATTGAAGCCATAAAACCAAAGCCACAGTGATCTATTTACTTTGCTTTGTGCTCAGTGCACTTGTCATTGGTTTTGGTCTTTTTGGATTTTTACATCTGACAATGAATTGACTTCGGCGGACTCATAGCAGATAAAAAATTAACTCATCTCAGTTATGGTCTAAATATACTAAACATTTGAAAAATGTGCAAAAGTAAAACTCATTTTCACGTGCACAAGAGACACAATGCTTTAAAAATTTGGTTTGGATGACCAACAGCTTTTTCATTTGAGTCTTGTAAAATTTAAAGTTTCAAAATTTGATTGGCTTTTTTTTCTGTATTTCTCTCTCTTTGTCAACTCAGTTTACGAAACAAGTTTTCAGGAGCAGGTTTTGTATGTGTGAAGAAAAGTAAAAACTTCCCCATATTGTGCAACAACAGTTCACACTACATGTCGCAGCCAAGTCATTGCCCAAAGTTGTCAGAACTGAATTATTTTGTGGGTGTGTAAGTTAAATCAGTAATGTGCTTATTGGTCAGTTCAAGCTTGTATGAGCTGGACTTTAAGTCCAAACCATTAGTGTCAATAGTGTGTTGCAATGACAACCCCCCCCCCCCCCCACACACACACACACACACACATTTGGTCAGTGTGAAATTAGTTTATTTCTCTAAATCTAAAACATTTAGAGAAATAAATTACAAAATACATTTTACAATGTGTTTGAATATTCTCTGAACAAAATAAACATATAAAAAAGTAATTTGAGAACTGCCCAAGATCCTGCAAAGTATTTTACAGTTTGAGAAATATTTGTATAATTTCTGAATACTTCTTAGTTAAGTACTTTTTGCATTATGTTGAATAAACATTGATTTCTAAAAAATGTTTTGATAAATGTGTTACTGTTCATTGCATTTTTTAAAGTTTCATTCATTGTACTGTGAAATATTAAAAAAAAGAAAGGTCTGAATTTCTTTTGTTTCTTGAATTACTTTTACATTTTCTTAAAAATTGCCTCTGTTTTTTTTAGTTTTGCTTTTTATAACTCTTTTATGAAGTATCTGGAAATAGAGTTACATTTAGTCTATTTGTTAATGCTTTCAATCAAATATTTGGGGGATTTGTGAAATGATTTTGTGTTCTTGGACAGTTTTTCATTTTAAGAAATTTTGTACATTGATTTTTTTTTTTTTTTGTTCAGTTAAACATTTTTTGTCATTATGAAA